AGCATCTGTTTGATTCTTTATCTGCCTGTCTGTGTGTCTTAACCTGTGCAACGACGCACGTTTACAGGTGTTGACAGGTGTTGACAGGTGTTGACGTGACAGTACGGACCTAAGCCTGTTTTCAGGTTTACATGTGCCTGTGTAAGGACGTCAGTCAAGGGGTAAAAAAAAAAAAAAAAAAAAAGAAGGCAGACAAGCATCTGTTTGACTGTCTGTCTGGGCAACGACGCAGACAGGCACGCAGGCAGAGAGGCAAGCAGACAGTCAGACTGACACGCAGACACACACGGCGACAGGCAGGCAGACACATAGGCAGACAATTAGGCAGATAGGCAGGCAGATACGCAGGCAGGCAGGCAGATCAACGTCTCAGATCTATGTGGCCGGTAAGCAGACAGACAGACAGGCAAGACGACAGGCAGACAGGCGGGCAGGCAGGCAGGCAGGCAGGCACACAGGCAGGCAGGCAGACAGGCACGCAGGCAGGCAAGCAGACAGTCAGACGAGTGTCTGCCTGTCTGCCTGTATGTCATTCTGTCTGTCTGTCGATCTCACAGGTGTTGACGTGGCAAGCAGGTGTTGACGTGACAGGTGGAAGTTCTGCATAGGCACACAGGCATTGACGTGACAGGTGTTGACGTGACAGTGTGGACCTGGGCCTGTTCTGAGGTTTACATGTGCCTGAGCCAGGACCTCAGTCAAGGGGTAACCAAAAAAAAAAAAAAAAGGCAAACAAGCATCTGTTTGACTGTCTGTCTGGCTGTCTGTGTGTCTGAACCTGTGCAACAACGCAGACAGGCACGCCGACACAGGTACTGTACACAGGTAAGGTTGGGGTCTAGGGATCGAACCCCGGGATCTGCAGCAGCTACTGCTAACTGGTGAATACCGTTTCACTTGGGCATTGGGCCCACTTTTAATTTAAAAAAAAAGAAAAAAAAACCTGCAATTTTGGCATTTGAGCAGCCTGGGCCTGCAGGTGCAGGTCCACGCCCAGGTGCACCCGCGACAGCGGGCCTGCACCTGGGCCCAAGTGAAGCCCCAGGTGCAGGCCCACGCCCAGGCCCATGTGCAGGTACAGATGCACGCCCATGTGCAGGCCCCGCTGCAAGCCCCGGCCCAGGTGCAAGGCCTGGCCCATGTACAGATGCAGGCCCATGTATAGGTGCAGGCCCGCTGTGCAGGCCCAGGTGCAGGCCCGCTGGGCCTACACCTGGGCCTGCACCTGGGCCTAGGTGCAGGCTCGCGGTGGAGGCCCAGATGTAGGCGCACGTGCAGTTACAGACGCAGGCCGAGGTGCAGGCCCAGGTGCAGCCCCAGGACCAGGTGCAGGCCCACGTGCAGGCCCACGTCCAGGCCCGCATGCAGGCCCACGTCCATGTACAGGTGCAGGCCCAGGTGCAGGCCCAGGTGCAGGCCCACGCCAAGGCACACACMGATGGGACACCCAAGTGCAGATGCAGGCCCAGATGCAAGCCCAGGTGCAGGTCCAGGTGCAGGTGCAGATGGAGGCCCAGGTGCAGGCGCAGGTCCCGGTGCAGGGCCAGGTGCAGGCCCAGACTCAGGTGCAGGCGTAGATGCAGGTGCAAGCTGAGGTGCAGGTGCAGGTGCAGATGCAGGGGCAGGGATAGGCCTAGATCCAGGCCCAGGTGCAGCTCCAGGTACAGGCCCAGGCCCAGGTGCAGCTTCAGGTACAGGCCCAGGCCCAGGCCCAACTACCCAACTACCCAATCACCGAACGACCCAACCACCCAACTACCCAACCACCCGCCCACCCAACCACCGAACCACCTAACCGCAGAACCACCCAACCACCCAAGCGCGGAACCACCCAACGAACTGGCCATCCACCCAACCACCAACCACCCAACAAACCACAGCCCTGGGTGCAGGGCCAGGTACAGGCCCACACCCAGGCCCGCAGATGCAGGCCTGCAGGTGCAGGCCCACGGGCAGGTGCACCCGCGACAGCGGGCCTGCACCTGGGCCCAGGTGGAGCCCCAGGTGCAGGCCCACACCCAGGCCCACGTGCAGGTACAGATGCACGCCCATGTGCAGGCCCCGCTGCAAGCCCCGGCCCAGGTGCAAGCCCTGGCCCATGTAAGCCCTGGCCCATGCAAGCCCTGGACCTAGGACAAGACCCATATTGGGGCCGATCCTTGGTGTTGGGCCCAGGCGCGGGCCTATACCCCGTGGGCCCAGGTGCAGGCCCAAGTCGCCCGTATTGGGCCATGTCCCGGACTATGCGTGGACTTGAGGCTGGACCCATACTGCACGTGGACTTGAGGTGGACCAGCCCGGTGTCCGGTTCCTGGGGTTGACCTACCGCTGATGCGGGTCTGTACCCGTTGACTTGAGTCTGGGCCCGGGTTGTTAATTGGGTCTGGGCCTGTGACCCTTTGAGTGGCATATGGGCCAGAGTCCCATACCTGATTTTTTTTTTTTTTTTTGCCACGGACCTGGACCCATACATAGCCAACCACCAACCACTCAACCAACCACCAACCACCCAACCACCAACCACCCAACCAACCACACAACCAGCCCGGTGTCCGGTTCCCGGGGTTGATTTTTTTTTTTTTAAGAAGGGAAAACAAAAAGTCTC